AAACCCCCCAATTATGAGAAAAGTCCATCCTCTTGGTCTTTTGCCTGCTCCACTTTTCAGATAATGTTTGCTCAAACAGGCTTTTTAGAGATTTTCCCTTCATGACATCACAAAGGGCAGTAACCCCTCCCCGAGGTGAGTGACACTCCAACAGCTAAGTGTTTGTTCTGTCCGCCTCGTCACCATAAATAATGGGGCATGGAGCAAGAAACTCCAGCCACATCCCCTTTCAGATAGGGCTGTGGTCAGACACAGACAATTTGCATTTAAAGATATAGACCCAGAAACAGCCTGTTCTGAGCAGGGCTGAAATAAAAGGGTTTATAGGCATGATAAATTACAGGATCAGAGTGGATCTTGAGCAAGAAACTTCCTTGTTGAAAATAAAAATGTGACCTTTAATTTTTCTGGTTCACTTCCTACGCTTTCCTCAACCAGATGCCAACCTCAGCTTCCTGACGATAAAATGACCATGTTTTAATCATGCATTAACTTTTTAAGTACTTAACATTTCCTTAATTTGTTAACCCCATTTACCCACACATCAAAACGACAGCTTTGAAATAATTTTGAAGTTCCAAAGGGGTCAAAAGTATAACAGATTGGACATTGTTGCAGGCTTTAATAAAAACTACTGCACACTGCCAAATATTTAACAGACAGTTGAAGGAATACATGCAAAGGGGCCACATATTTCACTTCGGAGTGAGTGACTTAGTGGAGACCAAAACAGATCCAAAACTAGAGCAATCCGTTGTTTGACGACAGTTTTTCAATTTCCGGCTGGATTTGGTGACATGCAGAACGCAAAACAATTTGTCAAGGTGTAGTTATTATACTGTTTTTTTATAACTTGTTTGAACGCTCTTTGCTGTTTTAGATGACATTGCAAAACACCGTAATGTGAAACTAATCCATTAAAAGCTAAGTGCAAAAATGCCAATGTTTAGTTCCAGAAGTATTTTGAGCCAATTAGCTTGTTGCAAAAATCTAAAAAAATCTAAATAGCTGATCCATCTCAACATTCTGCCTAAGTATGGTACTTTAGTCAATAAACATTTCTCAGTCATCTTTTCAATGTTACAGTACAGCACACGGACATGCCACAAGTGAATCACTGCTTATGCTTGTCTTTGTCCCATTGTCATCATAAAACAGATAACAACTCTGTTAAGTGCAGCCTCACATTACTGCCTAACATTTTCTGTTATGGACCAGACATTTCAATTTGATCCGAGCGTCTATTCAGGCAGAGCTTTTGACAATGGACAGAATTCACAATGAAAAGGGCAGCCTTAAAGAGTCCAATCCAAAATGAACCCCTGTAGCCCTGTTGAGGAAAATAAATGACTGATTTGTTTTTGTTTTTTTATACAACTACCCTAGAAATAAGGCTGCTGGGATTTTCTGTAAACAGTTTGCAGCCCATGTACAAATGGAAAAGTGCTTAAAATAAAAAACAATGCTGTCCTTGGGCACAAAACCTTTATAACAAAAGCATTTACTTTCAGTGGGGGCAGAATCTAAAGTAATTATCTTTTTCTCCAAATGCATTTTTCTTGCTGTTTTTGTATTCATTTATTCTTTTCAATTGAAGAGAAAAGCAAATCACCAATTCTGGTACCTGGCAGTGTAATCTATGGAGTCTTCAAAAGGATAATTGGGGAAAGACAGCAGGCAATGGAAGAGTGTGATACGAGGAAGCCGAGGGACAAAAAAAACGAGTGAGCAGAGGGAGAACTAATATAAATCTCAGGCGATGTGAGTCCCTGTTGGGGCGACTGCCTGAGATTGTCGCGCCTGGAGAATTGGATAAAGGTTCTTCAGCTGCTTGCGAGAAAGACAGAGTGAATCCCTGTTCCATTAAGGTTGATCCTGAGTCCCAACCATCAGTGTGTGGAGAAATGCATGAGAATTAGATGATAGATCTCCAGTATATGGCCAAAAATGTGCTCTGGGTGCGATAATAGGCAACATGCTGGACGTTAGCATCGAGTTGGTAAAAATGTTTGTTGCAACTTGTAAGCACAACATTCACACTGTGCCCGTCCTCATCGCCACCAGAAGCACCCGTCCACGTCAGGACTTTAGCAGGTACATTTACTGCTTGTACCTATACTGCAAACTATCTGGAAAAGTTCAAAATTAAGCATGCTATATGACTCCTTTTGTGCAGCTTTTTGCTAATATTTGCCTTATTCCAACCTCTATACGAAACGATGGGATTGGCAGACTTGACATTATTTCCTGTAAAAACACAAATCTTGGACAGACTGTTCAATACCCCTCTGAAAAGAGATTCCAGGGAAACCAGGACACAACGAAAAGGACTATCTCTGCTTAAAAGGGAAAGGAGGGTTTGTAGTGACAACAGGCATCAACACAGTGCTTTTGCGAAATTCAAATGTGTGTCTTCAAACGCAGATCAAAAGGAGAACACCGTATGCATTTATAACAGCAACAATAGGAGTACAGTGCATCCTGTGCCTGAGAGTGGGACATGTCCCCTTACCCACCCCCTTCAAAACTGTCTCTAGAAGGGAAAATGTGACAGACAGAGAGAGAGAGAAATAAGGAGGAGAACCAGGCAGAGAAAAAGAGACAGAGAGAGAAAAAAGCCTCTTCTCTGTGCTCTTCTGCCAACGAGAAGCAGCTTTATTACGTAACAGTCTCTGGGCTTGGCAGCTCACATGCTTTTAAGGAAGGAGCACACGTTCCTCTGCACCTGAAATCTCATGGCAGGGTGAAAGGAGCTGGGGATGCATGAGGTGGAGGTTTGGGAGTTTGGGGAGTGTGGAGGAAAAGCAATGAGGAACACAATATACATGTCATGGGAGATGGCTGTATTGCCTTTTTAGGTATAAATCACAGGCAATTACAGTTGCTCTTCACAGATTCCGAGAAGGACCTTGAGCCCTTGTCCTTTTGCCCTCAGAATTTATGGATGGCCTTTTAACTGATGTTACTTGTATTAGGCTATAATTATCAATTTGAGATTAATACAACAAAAATAGACACATTCTACGAACAAGGCTGCTCCAGTACCCTTTATTTATTTTTCATCGTAGTTCACTACTAAGCTTTCCACTGGGTCAAGAAATTTGTGTGCTGATGTCGAGGTAGGAAAGCACAGTCCTTTATTTAGTCATATTAGTGAAAAGCATTTATTAATAAGCATAAATTGAAAGACTATTTGCCTTTTCTGGCTCAGAAATTTGCTATTACCACCTCCATTTTTTAAGCCATGCAAAGTCCTTGCAAAACTGTTGGCCTTAAAGTGTAGAAGGAGAACCGTGATATATTTAGTTAGAGTAATACAAGAGGTTAAGAGACAGCAACTGATGTGAATATGACTTATTTATAGAACAGTGAGGATTTGGGTGGAAATGCTTCAAGGCTTGTGAATATGGGGTTTGGGAAAAGTCTGAACAGTTGTACCTTTATATTATTGTTAGTAAACACAGCGGCTAAGGCAGCGTTCCAACTGTGTCAGCTGCTCTGTAAGGCTGTACTTTAGCAAAGAGGTGTATCTTAAAGGCTAATGTCAGCGTCCCAACAGACTCTCCAAGACAAAGCTATCAACAAGGTAGTTTTAAAGTTATATTTTTTGGCGTTTTTGCATTTATTAGATAGGACTTCTGAAGAGAGACAGGAAATGTTGAGTGTGGGATGACATGCAGCAAAGGGCTAAGGTGGCATTCGAACCAACGGCCGCTGCGATGAGGACTATAGCCTCTGTACATTGGGCAAGCCGCATAATCTATCTGTTCCCCAACCAAATAGTTTTACTACGTTTACCATATAAGTTTAACATGTAAGGATGCTAACGCTTGATAATAAGGACATGGGATTTAATACATCTTGCAAGTATAAAAGTTCAGAACATCAAGACTTCAGGGATGAAAAAGACATGCAAAGTTTAAGGTGTTTATGGTGCGAGAAGAATGAAAGGTTCATGATAAGGTTCAAGTATAATTGGAATCCAAATATGCCTATGTAATATTGTGTCAATATTTCTGGTAGTGAAACTTTGAGACACTTATATAGTCAACAAATCACCCAAATTGTTGCAAACGATGTCTGCCCAATCAGCTGCTTCCGAATGGTTGGATGATTTTTCTGGCACTTTTCACATTTTGGTTGTAGGCCTGCAAACTTCAGCACAGTGAGAGCAGAGCGACGAGCCGCATCCGGAACATCGGGACTTTTTTTCTTGATTCTGTCAGCACTAAAAGTGACAGACAGGGTCAAGATCACCATGGCAACAGCAGGCATCCCTGTTAAATCTGTCTCACCCCTCCTACCATGAGAGAGACGTTGGCAGGAAATATCTACAGACCTTTAAGCTGACGGGGTAAATTTCTTATGATTTAACTGTTATTAGATAGTGTGTGTGTTTGTGTGTGTGTGTGTGTGTGTGTTTGTGTGTGTGTGTGTGTGTGTGTGTGTGTGTGTATGTGTGTGTGTGCGTGTGTGTGTGTGTGTGTGTGTGTGAGAGCGGGAGCATTTTTGCCGGGGTGAATTTGGGCAGTGCAAATGAGACAAGTGAAATACACAGATCTGACATCAACCTCTGTCTTTGGGAGTGTTCTATGGATAATTGTGAATGCTCTGTCCCGATTTAACTCCTACAGGGTGGCCTCTCAGGTCGTGTCCGACTATTGGGTCGTACAGGGTGAGAACTTAAATCATGAACTTTGATTGTGCGATGTAAGCGGTTCAGTCCTACAGTCTGAGCTGACATCCCACAATGACTTTCATACAGTGGTACAGTGTACGTCATGCTTAAGCCTTCTGGTCCTCTCAAATCCTTCAATAGTTCTCTCTCCCATCTGGCACTTTCATTCACAGAAGTGTAAATGCAGCTTTTAACTCAACTCCTTTGTTTCTTTGTATCCTTTCATTTTATTTCACATAATGTGACACATGCTTCTCTCTGCTTTCCAGAGGCCTTTTTGTTTTGTTGACTCATAGCACAAGGACAGAGGTGTAGCCACAACTTTCATTTGTTTTCTTTTTATTTAAAGACTAATGCAGAGAATCAGATTCTACAGGGCCATATCATAACCAAAAGAAAGAAAAAACATTTACAGAAGGTTCACCAGTTCATCTACATCCATCAGAACCCTTTGTCAGTATCATGGAACTACCGACACATTCCTGTGTACTGTGTGTGTGTGTGTGTGTGTGTGTGTGTGTGGGGGTATGTGTGTCTGTCTGAAAGTGTGTATGTCCATATGTGTACAGTCTCACTCTATTTCTCGTAGTCTAATCAACGTTTGTGCTTTAGAAAATTAGTTTTTTTTTATTACATTTCAGTGAAAATCAGAACATATTTTGCTTGATAAAAATACAAGAAAAAACTCCAGTAGGTATCTAGGAATAACAAAAGACTCAATGTTGAAAAGCAAGTGCTGCTGAGAACTGCAATGGACCTTGCATTAAACATGAAATAAAATGAGTGATGTGCCTACAAATGTGATATTTACATGATCGCTCTGCATATGACTGTGAAGGTAAAAGTTGGAAGCTCATGATTGCACTGTGCCTCATATTTCACATTCTCTCTCTGGAGCAGTAAATGTAGCAAAACCAGACCTGGCTTTAAAAAAGATTTGCAAATGGTCTACAGCATTTGTTCGATCCTGCTTCGTGTACAAGATAGGGTCTTAGCAAAGATATTCCCAACAGAAATGTGTACAAAATTCACTGTTTTTTCCCCCCTCAAAGTCAACACTAGCTGGTGCTCCCTGTAATATAGCTTCGGATAGCAGAACAGAAACAAAATGATCCATTTAGCAAAAAAGTACATTTTCACCAGCCTCCATCTTTGTAATGACAAACAAGCTCAAGAACTGAACAGAAATGTTGTTAACAAGGTGATCTTGTTACAGTTTTTGCTCCTTTTTTTTTTCTTTGTTCCATCACTTTATTGCATGTCTCTGGAGAAATAGTGCAATCAACAATGAAAGCAATTTTCCCTTCAACCACCTACAAATCCAAAGCGCAAACAAAAGTGATAATCCACTGTTTTTTCTTTGATGACACCCTGTATAGCCATGTTTGAATGAAAAGAAAAAAAACAATAACGCTGATGTGTGCGCAGCTGATATAAAAGCTAAGCTTTTTTCTTTTTTCTTTTTTTTATAATAGCTTGTAAATCTGAAACACAATGGTCAGGGAGAGAAGGTCGATGATGTGGTTCAAAGCTGTCCTTGCATAGCACGAAGCTGACTACATAAATGTAATGTTATTGTTTTGCTAAATGTGCAAAATGCATAACAATAGGTTGATAATACAAACAAATATTCATCATCATCTTAGCTAATATTTTCAATAATAGAATCAAATACTGTATGCTTTATGTATTTTACATATGTATATAGAGTTTTTCTTCATGATAATCAACATACATACAATAGTTTAGAATTCAAATATCTTTATATAACTCTTCACCCTGAACTATACAGTTCCTTGACCCTCTACCTGCAGATTAAGTGGCTGTTTACAGTGGACAACTTGCAAAGGTTTGCAAAGACATCCACCGTAACGGGAAAAAGGTTCATAATGATAATGCAAATAATAACAATAGCAACAACCTCCAACCTCCCTTTCGTTTTCCCTCTGGGGTTTGCTTGATCTCCTCACCTCAGCGCACAAACACACAGAGAATCCTGCAAGTTTCCTAGATGCCTTTTGGCCTGTTCAGTGCCCTGTAAAACATATTCAAAAGAAGCACGCCCACAACTCATAATGCAATACAATGCACCCCCCCACTCTCTGGCAAGAAATGTCGAGGAATAGGAGCCAAAGGTTTTCGGAACTCAGGATGGACACACGACGTGATGACTCTTGTTCTAAATAGCTCCTGGATTCCCATGTAAAGTACACAAATAAAACCACGAGGATGAGATGGGTCAATGTAAAGCTACAATGGATATTTTCCCCCAAACTGAGTGTCAGGTTCAGGTCCTAAGATAAGCCCTTGCTAAGTAATATTGCTACATTAACGTAATCTAAAATGGACTGTTCAGAAACCTCAACATGCCACGTCAGAGAAGAAGCATTTCCTTTAAAAGTGTGTTAATATGTTCAAAGAAAAAAAAAAGAGCAAGCAATGTCTAAGACAAAACAAACAAAAGCATTCTTTTCACATTTGCGTTAGGTTCTGTTGGTTTGTTTTTTTTTATCTCGGAAGAGGGATTGACATCATGCTACAAAAATATATTCATCTTCGTCACTATCGTAGAACTACAAGACAAGTCCTCTGTGTGAAACACAGCGCCGGCTAAAGCAAGATTACAGTGCCCCTTCAAGTCAACGTCCCCTCTCTCTCTCTCTCTCTCTCTCTCTCTCTCTCTCTCTCTCTCTCTCTCTCTCTCTCTCTCTCCCCCTCTCTCTCTCTATCTCTTAGTCTCGTTCTGTCCCTGTCTCTCGCTGTTGCTCACCGACAAGCAGCAACAAATGAGTCCAAACGGGCATGTGATACTGAAGGCAGTGTAGCTGGTACTTTCTGAGTGTTATACGTCTCAATTTTTTGACCAAAAAAAAATAGAAAAAAGGGAACTATGGTAAATTAAGGAGTTGGGGACACAGTGGGATGGAAAACACAGATGCGCCATCAATCAACAAAGTAGCAGCCAATCAAAGCTTCGACTCTGAAAATGGAAAAGGCACTTCTCCCCCGACTCATTGTGCCCCGCCCCTTTTTAAGCGAAGCTAAGCGTACTTTGCTTTAAATGGCGCTTTTGGCGAATGAGGCCCCCACCGTTGATAAAAACAACAAAATATGTTAATAATGAGTGTTCTCATACTATATATTTAAAATGCACTCCAGGATTCGAGATGATTTTTTTTTTACATTCTTACTCATTGCTAGCCAATTTCAGTTTTCACTGTTGTATATGTTGTCATCGTTGCTGTTGTTGCCGTCAGTGTGTGACACGCAGACACACATTGAAATAATTTGAACTTCAGTGTGAGAGCAGCTTTTGAATGGAATGCTAACGTGGCAAGAAACAGTCACTTAAGCATGAATAAGACCAGTTTATACTTTAAAAGAATGTAACATAAACATAAACAAAAATAAATAGAGTTTACTCAATAAACATAGCCTTTAGTTACACTCTGCAAAGCTTCAACATAATATCGACATCTCTAACTCTTGGTAATATTTACAACGCTGTGAAAAAAATTAAGAATATTTTCAATGCTGAGCTCAGAGATGATAGATTTTTTTTTTACTCTAAATAAATGGTGTGTCCACTGAGACATGTTTTATTGCTATTGCAGAAACCCCTAAAGTATTTTTAAGGATGAAATAATTAATCTAACACCTACAGAGAATTGAAGACATTTTGACAGAGACTTAGCGTAGCATCTTGCTGCTCATATCAAATGAACTGAGCTTTCTTTGAATTTTTGAATAAATAAAACATAAATAATAGGATGCCCTGACCATGCATATACACAAGTGCCTTTTTTACCGTGTCTGTGATTCCATGTTTTAAATCAAGTTGAAACAAAGGAAAACAAACATAGAAACAAAAGCCCCTAAACAAGTGTGGGCCATGTGCAGTTGTAGAATAGCATTCTCTTGGCTATATATTTATAGTAGCATTTTCTTAGTAGCATCATCTGAGACCTGAACAACACCCTTTCAGAAATCGGTTTCCTTATCTTTCTTTTTTTTTTTTTCTCTATTAAGTTTTTTTCAAAGTCAAACTTTAGGTAAACATAGAAGCAATGCAACAACTGGGAATTCAAACCAGCATGGACACCATGTTTGTCTGAAAATAAACACCTGTTTTGAGGAGAAATAAGAAAGAAAATGAAAAAAAAATAAAAGAAGATAAATTACAGTTATAATTTAATAAAAGGAATTAAACATGGATTAGTGTGGATTCATCCCCTGCAATTTGGGCTTCTTATTCAAGTAGGTTGCCCAGTAGACCAAGTTAAAGGTTCCAAAGAGCAGTGGGAAGGCTATTCTGGCGATCCTGTCTATCTTGCTCACACTGTTAAAGGTCTTCTTGGCCTCTGGAGGCTTGGGCTTTGGCTCCTCCTTGGGCTCAGTTGGAGGGGGTGGGGCGCTTTTGGCAATAGTGGCCAATCCAGGGTCCCTGGCAATATTGGGGGCGAATGCTGTAGCAGTGGCAGCTGGGTAGGCTGTGGTGTTGTTCTTCTTTAGGAGGGACTCCTTCTTCTTCTTTTGCTGGTTTTGTTTGTTGGGGGGAAAATTAAAAGGATAGAGGTCAGAGCTTTAAGAGACCCTTTTAATTTATTTCTAAAGCTTACTGATGTGAGGGTTGAGTAGCAGGGGTGGAGCAGCGATTTTAAAAGTGCGGGTGTTCTAATGCTAGTATATTACATACCCTCTAGCAAATCAACACATTCTGTTTCATTTAATGTCCAATAACTAATGTTAGCTGACACATCATACAACAAGACAAAGTTACAAAAGATTATAATTAGACACTAACTTTATGAACATCCATTGTGAGTAACCCAGTTAGCTCTAAAAACAAGATTCAAAACTGCTCTTTGTGATGCTTTTATTTTGCTTATCTTATTGCCTTATGCCTCAGTCTCTTTATTTCCGATCAAATATAATGTGCTTTTATTTTGAAAAACTGCAAAGGGGACATCCGCTACATCGTACAGTTACGGGAGTAAATAAATACAGCTCTTAAAAACATCTGTTTGGGTGACTAACTCTCTTTCAGAAGGATGCTACATGTTGTGAATGTATCCATTTGTTAGCTCTGAGCTCTGACTCAGCCCGTGATGAGTGACAGGAGGATTACTGCTAAATGCATGTAACTTTACCGTGCTTCAACTGTAACAGTGTAAACAGCTATGATTGGCTTAATTGTCACTTAATAAATCTTACTTGACCAATAGGTTTTAATCAATGACTCCACTGGTAAAAAGAGTGGGGGATTAAATTACGTTTCAGTGAAAGTGTGGGTGAGATGCGCCTGTTGAATAGTAATAGTAGCTTATTTAAAATGTACCGCGACGATTTTGCCAATTATTCTTACACAGACTGTTTTACAGTTCCAATCAGAATCATGGTGAAAAAACGTAATATGAGGGACTTTTTAATTCAAAAACAGCTGGGCTATAACAGAGTGTGGATCTGCTAACTACAGCAGAGAGAGAGACAAGTGGAGCAGAAAGCACAAGATGAACACTTAACTATTAATGTTCATGTCATGTCACTCAAATTGCCTTTTCAATGAGATGAGTTGGCAACAACAAAAAAACCTCTCTTAGAGGTTAAGTGCTCACTCTCTTCTTGAATGACTCTTTGATCCATAAATACAAATAAATAATTTGTAGATTTATATTTGTGTCCAGTCTTTCCCTGCCCTGTCCTTTGTTCGTAATTTAACTGGAGGCATTATTGAGGCAGTCATGTGCCATTTCTTCTTGTAGGAAACCACAATTTGTCAAATGGCTGCCAATTCTTGCATCTACTAGAATAACTAAACAAAATCTTAAATTACCTTCTCTGGCACCACACTTTTACCGTCCCAGGCGTAGCCCCTCTTGGTGAAATAGTTGACCGTGGCAAACTCAATGAGGGCTGAGAAGACAAAGGCGTAGCAGACGGCGATGAACCAATCCATAGCTGTGGCATAGGCCACTTTAGGGAGGGAGTTCCTAGCGCTGATACTGAGTGTGGTCATGGTCAGGACAGTGGTCACTCCTGCAGAGAGATACACAGACAATACAGAAATTTGAACTCTAATAGGGTGGCAGATAATTCAGCTGCTACCGTGTATGTACCATGAAATCTGAAAGGGAAATATGGAAGGTAAGACATTGTGAAGCAGATGATGTAGGTAACCGCTATCAATATCTTCAAAATTAATCAATCTTCAATCTTTCTATATTTTTTGTGCATGTATGCATTATGTGTGTGTGTCTCTCTTTCTCATTATGCAAGGGTAATTTCTTTCTTTAATCAAACCAGAAAGCAGCTCAGCTCTATTACAGTATCTTTTTATGCAGATGATGTGGTCTTTAAAACATTCAAAAAGATAACTTCATCCCAAAGATGCAGCTAGAAAATGCACTTCAAAAATACTGATGCTCTATTTATGTTATTTCTGTCACAACAATGCAGAAGCAGTTATCATAAAATGAACAATAAAAAGGCATAAATTAGTACAGTCAATGCATGAAATTAACAGAAGAGACCCATTTTTTGAGGACTGTATGTCAACCCCTGGAAAACCAAATCTCTAAACTGCAGCTGCTGAGAGCTGAAAGGAGACACAGTGTGCGGAGAGGGAGAAGAACTGGGTCAGAGCATATCTAACGATGCGGTGCTCATCACAGAACAGGCTACTGCAGATGTTTACACACCAAATAACATCAGCCCAAGCAGCAAACAGTCCACAAATTCAGCCTGAGCTTTTTATGACGGAGGAGGTGATGAACAGCTGGCTCTTGCAGGAATGATAAAATATGCATAGATGACCTCCCCGCACACATGTGGTGCTGCATGTTTATGCAGAAGACACACATGTAGACAGTACGCCAACAGACCCACTTCCATGTTTAAATGATCAGCAGACCACCCTTGTACATGCATCCACTGCTCGAAAACCAAAGCAAACTTTCTTTTTAAACCTCATATGATGATGATCCTACTTGAGAAGTCTTTTTAAAATTGTTCTTTCAGGCTGAGCTAACGTCAATAATTTTCTCAGCATGAAATGACTGAAGCTTTGAACTATGCCACCTGTATTAGAAATACCTAAAAATGGACAATGAAGACATAAAACATAATGATAATATAAATGGAAATCAAAGGAAAAGCTTATCTTTAATCAAAATACAGAAAAAATCTGATTCAACTCCACTCATTGTTTGTCCTTGTGCAATAAAACTTGACAGCTAAGCCTCTTTCAGTCTGTGCTACTGAGGATCTTTTTGTCACTGTCCTCTTCACCAGTGTAATGTTCTTATGTTTGGTATATATTGTGACAATGTTTAGGTCTCTCTTCTCTTAAAAGTTGCTCCGTTTTGCAGTAATTGTGACCATCAGGGCATGCAGCAAATCTCCTACCTTGTTGTACAAGCAGTTCTGTTAGGTTACCTTTGAAATCTAGACATACAAATTAGCCCTCCCATTAAGCTGCCAAATACTGTGGATTGTGCCGTAACTTAATGTGACTCACTGGATCACTGCCTTTGGGATTTATAGGGAATTGCCTTTAAAATAAAGAATTTATTTCTACAAAAGCAGTTAGTAAAACTGTGTCATATTAAGTTTACAAGTCCGACTAAGGCATATTTCAAAGAATTGGGACCTGCATTAGCAAGAAAGAAACATTCCCACCATATGATCCAACGATATTTTCTTAAGAAATGACCAAGGGAAGCATCAATAAGTCACATTTGTTAAGCCTTTTGATCTCTTTCCTGGGAGACTCTTTCACTGGTACTGAGTGCATGTGTCCTAAAATGTTTTCCCCTCTGAATTACAAATTCTTCTTACTCTTCCTCCTCACTCCTGATAAAGTGCTAAACGATGAATCACTGATTCCTCCCACTCTCCTTTTTCACATGCTTTTGGCATAGATGACTGGGCTCTGTGACATGAAGCATAAAGGATGATTATCATGTTCTCATTAGTCAAAGCCAAATAAATGATCATTATTTGTAACTGAAGAAGACACCTCTGATAGATGTATAAGATCTGAATCGTAGGTGCACACGCTGCATGCTCAAACATGTGTTGTGTTCATTATCACAGCAAAGGGAACAACAAATAGGTCAACCTTATTTATTCTGTATAATTCATCCATTAATTCATTTTTTTCTAAGGTTTTCACGGCACGTCCTTTATCAAATGTTCCAGATAGATCATTTGTTTGAAGAAGAAGAAAACGAATAATTCAAAAGACATGCAGGAATAATAAAAATGAACACCTATCTCTCTCCGACACATTGTGTAATGACAACTGGCATGAGCAAAACTTGAAAGTACAAAAACAAATAAAAAGTAGTAATTATCGATTCCAATTTGAGAGGTCCAAAGGAAGGAAGAAGGGGAAGTGCTTGCCATACTTCAATACACTGAAATCTGAAGTATTTTTATGCTACAGTCAGTGTATATTTGATGCTTAAAAACCCACACATGACCATGTTTAGCACTGCTCCCTCTGCTAAGTAGGGCATTGAATGGTTTGTTATATTGTTATGGGAATGCATGGCGGCAGGAGATATGAAAATATCAAGTGATGCTTAGTCACATATTCATACCAGATTCCCCGACCCTTTCAGCTCCACTCAGCTAATTTCTATTAGCTAAATGACATTTTTGGGGTAGGGGTGGGGTGACAGCATGAAGCATTTTTTTCAAAAACATGTCACAAGACGTTCATATTAAGCTTAGCTGCAAATGTTCACCGACCATATTTGTCAATTGTGCTCCGTCAAGGACAAAATACCAACCCACACACATAACAAAATCAGAAGCTGGAGGGGTAACAAAAAATGTTTCACATTCTGTTCTGTTTCATATTCTCTATGTGCTGAAGCCAAATTAGGTAAGAGATGATGTCAGACAAGATCTCCATCATCAGGAATTTAGAAATTCTGGACAACACTGAAACTTTGAGAACAACTGCTTCCTAAGTGTCCATTACTCCTGATAATGGACAACTTCAAGTCCATTATACCACTTATACCGCAGACACGCAGACAAAAGTCCACAAATGTATGTTTTCAATGGTTTTGCAACCGAGAAAAAAATATATAGGCCTATATGTATATATTTATTATTTATATGAAGGTACAACTCTGTTGTTCTAGTAATCCAGATGGTTTGACAAATACCTGGTTAAGGGAGGCTTTGACTGTTTCTATGCTGTTTCTGATAAGTAGCAGCGCATTACTTCAGATTGATTATCATGTGGTATCACCAGTACCACTGTATAATTGTCTGTAAATCTGGACACCATGCAGCTAATTAAGATAAAGTATTTATCCAGACCATGTTTTAGGAATGATCAATGTAACACTGTTTATGTTTATATAAATAATTGGTAAAGGTTATAGGGAAAGGGGAAAAAGATAACTTTGATTTGTAGGTTACCGCTGTTAGCGCTGTATATACGTTTCATCCAAACTTCTGTTGTGGAATACCTCATACATTGACTGAAAGCAGCAGTTTGGTGCCACATTTGAAGTCATATTTAGGTCTGAGAACAGTGTCTTGTAGACTCTATAAAAGTAAAGTGTCACGGCCTATGAACATTCTGTATTGGAAAACAGCCAGTGCAAAGTGACTTTGCCAGCAATCATGTGTTTTTATGGCTTCAGCAGGTGCTGATGCAGAAAAGAGCACAGCACCTCACACCCATTGCTTCTGTAATGAGAGCGACGGGCATTAGATGACGTAAAGAAGGAGGAATAAGTGTTCAAAGGGATATCTGTCATGACGAAGAACTACTACTTCAATTTGCATGGGTGGGGGGAAGATGAAGACTTTAATGTGTAACTAGAGATATGTGGGGTGCAGCATATAGAAGGGATAAAGGCAGGTATGGAAAGGTGGATGGCTAGAGTGCTGTCAATCTGTCAGGTTTTTTGTTTTTTTTATGCCAGTACATTAGTTAATTTTGTGGAGGTGGGCGAAAGCAGCACCACTGGGTATTACACAAGACCTCACCAAAAAAAAAGTGCCTCAATGCTTGGAATCATATATACTATGACTGTGTTTGACAAGCTCTGTTGCCATGGAAACAGGTCTTCCAACTCCTCCAACGTCTCAGAAAAATCGCCAGAGAAAAATGAAGGAGAGAAAAACATTTGCTGATATGCCGTTGAATGCCACAGTGTTGGTTAGCTTTGTTGCTTGCTCTCACTGATGTGTTTGGAGGCTGTGTGTGTGTCTTCACAACAGTTATGTGTGTGTGTGTGTGTGTGTGTTTGTAATTGTGCCGTTTCCACCCCAGGAAGAAGATCCCCCCTTGTGTCTGTTTAATGATAGTCTTACTTAGGAGTCATTTAGAACACCAGTAAGTTGATTCATTAGAACATGGCTTGAGAACTGTTTTTAAATGACTTCATTTGACATGTTGTAACTAATAGACTTAAGGATTTGAAGGCTCTTAATGACCAAAGTCACTGATCTGGAAAGTTCTAACCGGATTAATAGTGGTGTAACTCAATTCTTGGGACTCCCTTCTACTCAATTTAGCCCAGTGTGCACAAGCAGTGACACTTGATTTATATGATATATATCTGCTAACAGGGTTTTCTCCTCTGTTGGCAGACTCGCACACATAGGGGAAAAAAACTGTGAAGATACAGAGAAAGCAAATTTGGGGAAAGTAAATTAGAGATTAACATTGATAATTAACAAGTTGTGGAAGGTTGTTTCAAGGTGGGGGCTCCATCACTTCTCCCTGGGGCAAGGGCAATTTGATATGAGAATGCATGTGGACAAACGGAGCAAAATGCTCATTTTTTTGGAGAATATGTGGGCAGATAATGTCCTCTTGGTTAATCTGTTTTCTGACAGAGCAAGGTAAAGCTTATAGAAATTTGATTTAATATCTTTCCGTCGGGTGGAGTTTAAGTGCTCAACTATAACTGTGAATGAAGATGCAGGTGAGAAAATAAATTGCTCCAGGAATGGCTTAAAATAAATTCATGTGCTCCGTGAGTTAAACCTTGTTTGTCACTTAA